GACTGACCTTCGTAGCCATACCAAGGACAGTCAAGTAAAGGAAAAGAGCTTCCTTGTTCAAAATCCTTCTTATATGTGGGCTGCCAACAGAAGGTCTGGCCACATTAAAGGTGAATCTTATTACCTCAAAGTATCCAAATTAATGAAGTCTTCCCATTTCAAAACATTTAATTAAAAAGTCCTCACTGATGTACAAGATTCTTTAGGGGTTCAGTAAATTCAGGTGGTCGTCATAGCCATCAGAACAACCAAGACAGAAGACCTGAGAAAGATTTATCAGCAGGAAGTCTTGAGAGCATGGTATTCATTTCCAAAGTACTGCTTTTCTAAACATGGAATGCCTAGTGATTTTGCTCAGGGAAGTTCACATGAAGTCCTGCCAAAGCATGCTCAGTTAACAAATCCAGTTCTGATTTTGGTCCCAATGTAAAGGCAGAGACAAATAGGGAATTACTTACCTCACAGGCAGGCAGGAAAATATAGAAGTTCTAAAAGTGATATAGAGAAATGCTTCTGGCATGTTCACCTTATACCACAAGGTCTTAGCTAAAAATCCAGTCAATGACATTGTGAAAGTAGATTGCTTTGGAGTGTATGTTTTATGTCAATCATTATTATCATCTAAAAGATAGAAGTTTCCATGCCACAATTCTCATAAGTACAAAGGACAGAAATCACAAATTTAGAAAGTATCAACGTTTAAAAGTCACCAGGCAGCACTGAAGTCACTTATCATATTTGGAAGGTATGCTGAGCTATTGTAACCTGAGAACAAGGGTGCTTTTCCCTCTGAGAGGCCACAGCTGCTTCCACACAAGACCTGAAGGAGTTCATTTTAACTATCCCTGGCTGCAATTGGTCTCAGGTCTTTGGCATCACCAGAGAATTTCATTGTTGCCTTTTTTTTTTTTTTTGGTTTTTTGAGACAGGGTTTCTCTGTGTAGCTTTGGAGCCTATCCCAGCACTGGCTCTGGAGACCAGGCTGGCCTGGAACACAGAGATCCTCCTGCCTCTGCATTCCGAGTGCTGGGATTAAAGGTGTGCGCCATCAATGCCAGGCCATTGTTACCTTTTTTAAACCTGGGTTTTCCTTTTAGTTATATGGTATTTTGCCTGCCTCTGTCCATGCACAGTAACTACAGGATCCAGAAGAAACCAAGAGATGCTGGGGAGTGGTGGTACAGCAAATGGCTAGCTACCATGTGATTTCAGGGAGTGGAACCTGGATCCTGTGTAACCATACCCATTTCTCTTACCTATGCTTACTTCTTTAGCCCTTCTTCTTTTATTTAAAATTTACTTCTATCTCTTTTAAATTACAAGACATTACATCACTTCCCTCACTTTTTGCTCTTCCCCCATTCCTTCACATATTCTTCTCTTCAAAGTTCTTTCTGGTTAAGAATGTATTAGTAAGAATGCTGAAAATATGAATACAATGTTCTCAGTCCATTGTGTTGGTTGTATGGGTATTGTTTAAGGGCTGAAATATTGTGTTGGATAAAACAGTTAGGGAGCTCTATCCTATGTGAGACTAATTTTCTCACCTGAAGGAGTTTACCACTTTTTACTGAGTCTCAGGTGTCTGACCCTGAGTAAGCTTCCTTGCACAGGAAACATAATCAACATAATCAAGAACAGAAAACTTGAATTCAAAATTACCTTAGAAGTTAAGAGTAATAAAGATTCCACTGGGTGGTGGTAGCACAGGCCTTTAATCCCAGCACTCAAGAGGCAGAGACAGGTGCATCTCTGTGAGTTTGTGAGTTGGAGGACAGCCTAGTCTACAGAATGAGTTCCAGGACAGCCTCCCAAGCTACAGAGAAACCCTATTTAAAAAAAAAAAAACCAAATAAATAAATGAATAAAAAAATAAATAAAGCAAGAGTAATAATGATTCCTACAGATCATCTAGCTTCCATTCTCAGTACACACAGAAGGTCTGTACTATCTGCATCTCTAGTTCCAGGGGTTTTGACACCATCTCCTGGCCTCCTTTGCCACCAAGCATGAATGTGGTACTTTTGGGAGCCCATAGCCCAGTTTTGGACAGACATGAGTGCTTGTCCATTGGGTCTCTAGATAAAGCAAAAGCCCAAAAGTTAGTCTCACTAGGCAAGGACCAGTGGACTTTGGGACAGCACAGAATTTTGTGCAGCCTGTGTGTGCTTTCTCTCGTGATATTGATGATTCTCTTGTTTATTTTTATCAATCATGCATGAGACAGATACAATCAGTCCTGGAATTTCTTGAATATTTTCCCCTAATATCTTTAGGTTATGGTTATGGTTTCTTTTCTCAGCATGACAGCTGTCATTTCAGACCCCAGGAGCTGAGCTGATTCAGTGCTGATAGGATTAGAGGCATTTTTATCCTCATTTCTGTAAATATGTTTTGAAGGGGATTGTTGTTGAAGTATGTGCCTACGTCAACCCCCTTATAGTCTTGTGAAGACAGGATGTATCTGGCTTGATATTTGGATAAGCTAGCCAATTGCTAAGTGTTGTTAATGGTTTAAAGATGTTTAGATGTAAAAGCTGGGATAAACATATTTAACATATTTGTTTTTGCTGGAGGTTAAATCTTGAGGATGGAAAAAACTTGTTAGAATGCAAAATACTCTGTTTTTGATATATAAATAAAGTCAGATGGAGCTATTCTGTGCTGGCCACTTGTGTGAAATTCATCACTCATTAGACAACTAATTTCTTCATTTTGATGCCCTTTCCCCAACTCAGGACCTGCACCCAAGCCTAGGCCCAGACAGAATAGAAATACATACATACAGCAGGGTGTTGGTGGAGCATACCCTTAGTCCCAGCACTCAGGAGGCAGTGGCAGGCTGTTCTTTTTGAGTTAGAGGCCAGCATGGCCTACAGAGCCAGTTCCAGGACAACCCCTAGAGCCATACAGAGAAACTCTTTCTTGAAAAGCCAAAAGAAACAAACCACAGAAGATACATATGCATACAGAAAAAAAAAAACATACACATAAAACAATGCCTGAAAAAAAAGGGTGCTGGAGAGATGGCTCAGAGGATAAGAGCACTGACTCCTCTTCCAGAGGTCCTGAGTTCAATTCCCAGCAACCACATGGTGGCTCACAAATATCCATTATGACATCTAGTGCCCTCTTCTGGTGTGCAGATATATACGGAAGCAGAATGTTGTATACATGATAAATAAAATCTTAAAAAAAAACAATTCCTGATATTCTGGCTTTGGTGGTGCACATTTAATCCCAGCATTCACAAGGCAGAGAAAGACAGAGCTCTCTGAGTTCATGTCAAGGCCTACTGAGATGGCTCTGTTTTATCTTGACTTAAGGTCAGAGAGTTCAAAATTATCCTTACTCTTCCAAGGTTAAAGTCATAAGACCTAAAGATCTAAGGTGTAGCTACTGTAGGATGTTTGCTCTTGATCCTGGATGTCTTATCGAAGCAACAACAGACTTGATCTGAGGCTTGATTACTCTTGATACTCAAGGCCAAGTAATTGAGTCTAAGTGCAGTTACCAAATGTTTGGGAAATTAAGAAGAAAGTCTGTTTGTTCCTTGTGCATGATAGAAAACTATTTTGCCATGTTCCCCCTTTTGGTTGGAGTATTTAAGAATATTGAAGAATAAACTTGGGGTTTTCAGTATTCACTGGATTGCCTTCCTGACTCTATCCTGTGTCTCTGTCTTTTTCTTAGCATCTTTCCCTGCCCTTTCTCAATCCACACTACCCCCTCAGGTATGAACCAGGCAAGTCAGCTGGATCTCACTGAAGCTTCACAAAATGGGCTACAACCAGTTCAAGGCCAGGCAGAGAAACCAGGCCTCAAAAATAAATAAAAAATAAATAAAGGCTGAAATTAGAGCTGTACAAAAGCTGCAACAATAACAACACCATACAAACAGAGGACTTGCACAAAAAAAACCTTATTTTTCAATATGGGTAGCAGTGGATTCTTTTAATTCCAGCACTCCAGACACATTGGCAGAAAATAATGTGAATTTTAAAGCATGTGCTGTATAGTCCATGTGGGCACACACACATACACACACGAGAAAAGAACTATACTGAATAACATACATGAAATGGAGCATCGGACAATAGGGATAGAGCAATACCTCTTAAAATCATTTCAGGTGTCAGCCACTGATCCCCATCACATCATTGTCAGAAATGAACATAGTTGAGCATAGTAACAGAGCCAAGCTGATCTCCACAAATTTGAACCACCTTGGTCTATATTGTGAGTATGCTAGTAAGACATATGTTAATTATAGGCTCTTACATATGAATATAATGTTTTCTTTAGAAAACTCCATGTTGCCTGATCTCACTCTGAACTGTACAATGAAAAAATATATATTGAATATTTTAAAACAATTCCACTATATATTTCATTCTGTATCATTTGCCTCATTATACAATACATGGCATTTTCTAGACAAGATTGAGCCCCCAGAAATTTTCTTTTTCTTTTTTTTTTTTCCATTGTCAAGGCCGATTTTATTGAAACCAAGGAGCTTTTTAAAGAGAAGAGCAGAGCAGAGAAAAAGGAAGTGGGGGGAGGGATGAGTTAATTGTTCTCAGGCAGGTATTCTGAATCTCCTGTGTTTATCTCAGGCACTAACTAAGGAAATGGGGGAGGGAATAGGTGTTAGTTGCTTCTCAGGCAGATATCCGGAATCTCCTGTGATATGCTAGACTTTCTGGCTCTAACTAGGTATGGGGTCGCCAAGGCTGGCTTCTGACATCTCCCCCTACTAAGTATAATAAAATGGAGCATCTGGCTTAGGCTACGTGATGGGCACCCGCATCCAGGACCCTATGTTT